AAAGAATTGGTGATAAATCAATCTTAAATCTATCAAGATATTTTGCAACGGAATTGGCTTGATAAATATTGCCTTCGTATAAAGCTTGGTAAAGAGGAGATACATAAGATTGACCATTAATCATAAATGGTAATGGTGATATCGTATTTTGTTGCCTTAAGACAACAGACTGAGATGACGATGGGACAGCTTGGTATGTTTGAGAATGTTGCTTTAAAACAATAGACCGAGATGACGATGGGACAACTTGGTACGTTTGAGAATGTTGCTTTAAAACAATAGATTGAGATGACGACGGGACAACTTGGTACATTTGAGAAGATGTTGTTAGAGATTTTGATATAGATATCTCCTTAGGTGGTAAAGTTTGATCGCATGTTACAACCGGCGGTATTACATCGCCTCTATCGTCATCTTCAAATATTACGGAATTGATCGACTTTCTTGGTTTTGTTTTAAAGACTTCCATAGTTACATCTTTATTAGCACTCCATGCGTCCAATGCAGCTTGAATAACAGCATCATATTTTTCGTTTTCTCGTTTTAAAGGATCAATCCGTTCTTGGTCATGAAATGATAAAAAGGCTGCATCACTTTTCCAATGGTCTGTCTCAGGATTATATCTTGGGTCTTTACGCTGCTCTAAGTAGCTGCGTGGACGACGTCGACGTCGAGGATAGGGGGGAACAGTATAATTTGTATTAAAACCGTACCGAACACAAGAATCATTTTGATCAGGAGTGTCTTTAGATTGTAACATATTTGAACTTTCTGAATCTACCTCGTTAACATGATTAGGCGTTTTGAAACCTCCAGATTCACCCCATTGGTACACTTCATTTCCATCAGCACACGATTCTGAATAATCAAGATTGCCTAATCCACCATATAATTCATCAATGGAATTGTAAGATTCTGCTTGAGTACAAATTTCTTTAAATTCGATTTCACTATTTATAGGTTTTGATAATTGTTCTATTTCACCGTTAATAGGTTTTGATAATTGATGAATGCACGTTTCTTTAAATTCGATTTCACCGTTGATAGGTTTTGATAATTGTTCGTTGATAGGTTTTGATAATTGCTCAATTTCACCGTTGATAGGTTTTGATAATTGCTCAATTTCACCGTCGATAGGTTTTGATAATTTCTCAATTTCACCGTTGATAGGTTTTGATAATTGTTCGTTGACAGGTTTTGATAATTGTTCGTTGACAGGTTTTGATAATTGTTCGTTAATAGGTTTTGATAATTGTTCGTTAATAGGTTTTGATAATTGCTCGATTTCATCGTTGATAGGTTTTGATAATTGCTCGATTTCATCGTTAATAGGTTTTGATAATTGATGAGTACTCATTTCTTTAAATTCAACTTCACCGTTGATAGGTTTTGATAATTGATGAGTACTCATTTCTTTAAATTCAATTTCACCGTTTATAGGTTTTGATAATTTATGTGGATCATCGTTATTATCAGAATGTTCATTTTTATCTGGCCATTGAACATCACTTTCACAAACTTTACCATCAGAGAAATCAATCACATTGGTAGAGTAAGTAGGAAGTCCGATTGATGGCTCTAGAATCAACACTGTCCACTTGATATCCGTTACTTTAACATTTCCATCATCCCATTTAATATTCTCCGGATGGATTTTAGTAATAGGTCTTGTCTTATGTTGTGAAAAATTAATGGTATCATGTTTGTTAAATGTCATTGTCTTGCAATTCCTAGGACGAAAAGATTTTAGAAATTGTGAAAATAGATTAAATGATATTAAAAGCTCAATCATGGCGTTTATCCTTTCAAACTAACACTATAAATAACGTAAATGTGTAAGAAATTTGTGATTAAAATAAAAAGTAGCAATATAAAAAAATAATACTAATACCTTCAGTCATTTGTGGCTTGAGAAAAAAGATTAGATAGATTATTTTTTGTGGTTTGTTCGAATTTGAAGATCATCTGGTTTTAGATTCAACAATGGGTTACCGGAATTACTCTAATTCGCTTATCCGTAATTTTAGAATTTATATTTCAAAAAAAAAAATTTTGTTGAGTCTAAAGTTGGCTAGGTTCTTCGCGAACATTGAAATATTAATTAAAAATTCTGGTGAGCAAAAAATCAAAAACCTCTTGACTGAAGGTCTGATCCGATGAATAATATATCCGGATATTCAGTGAATATCCGAATATCAGGATATGCAATTGGTTCACCAAATTGAATATTCGAATATGTTATTTTTCACAGATAAGCTACTACGTTAAGTACAATAACAGCCAAGGTGTATTATTTCTGCAATGTCGCGTTGACATAGTTGACTCTTCAAATTCGTAAATAAATACAAAATAAATAAATAAATATGATACAGTCAGACCTCCCTAAATGCAATATCTCTAAATGCATGTACTCTAAATGCATGACTTGGCCTGGTCCCAACTCATATGTTACTTATTGATTTTTACCTCCCTAAATGCAATACCTCTCTAAATTCAAGATTTTTTATCGGCCCAACGCTATGCATTTAGAGAGGTCTGACTGTATTTAAATTTCTGATTTGATACTTTTTAATTTTGACCTAGAAGATTTGGAGACCGGTGGCGCACTTTATTAGATGGGTAGAGTCAGTAGAAATCAAGCAAATTTTTTCTAAGTAAATTTTTTTAAAACTTTAAACAACAATAGCTCAACAAAGACTTAATAAAAATTTTTTTAAAAAAAATTTTTTAATAAAAACAAATTGCTTGATTTCTACTGGCTCACCTCAGATATTCATCTATTCATGAATAATTGAATTACAATATTATTAAATTGATTAAATTGATCATAGAATTCTCTCTCTTTCCCCTTAATTTTTTTACTACAATATATTTATGTGTTATCGTTATTTATCCATCCCTATTATTTTGTATAGCCTGTCAACGCGTATTCTAGATGAGGATTTGATGATTTCAATTTCTATCTCAGCTAAAGAATGACAATAATGTTTAGCTAAAGAATGACAATAATGTTCGGTTAAAGAATGACATTACATCCTGTAATTCGATCAATAATGCGCACGATTTGATTTAAATAGTGGAGTCGACCGATTTATTTAAAAAAAAGAAAAATTCTTCCCTAAGCGCATCAAAAGAACTTTTGCCCAAAATGATACCTCCTGCTGAGGATTCGAAGAAGGGGATAGTACACAGAGCGTGTGCGCCAAAAATTTGGATTTTATAAAAGAAAATGTTGCATTTATTGTTAAAACTTCAGATGCAAACAATTTCTCGACAAAAATTTAAAATAGTGCGTCTGAAGTAACGTCGTCAATTTTTTATATTTTATCTCTAGGGTGGACCTACAATTCGATGCGTATTTTCAGAATTTATTATGGAAGCTGATAGATTTTCATTCACTGAACTGGCTCTCCGAAAAACCCTAAAGTAGAAGTCACTCATTACGGCACATTTACATAATTTAAGTATTGACTAAAGTATAAAATGCGTCATTTATTATTGATAACATCTTTCGTGCAAAGATGGGTTTGACGCATTTTATACTCTAGTCAATACTTAAATTACGCAAATGCCCCTATAAAAAAAGTCGATCCGTGTTTTATATTCCATAAATGTTGCATATTCACGGAATTTATAACCTTAAATCATGGAGATTATTCAGCTTTGACGATCATGTTGCAAATTCACGGAAAAATATTTTATAGGGTGCCCGTAATGTCAATATATTGCGATTTTGAAAGAAATATGCAGAGTGAAAAGAGTGCATTGCAAAATAACACAAATATAGCCGCAGGATAGAATAGAATCTTAGTAATTATTCGTTTTCGATTTTTTTTTTTTTGAATAAATAAAATTTATATTCTGAGGTTATTTCTAACAAAAATATCAAAATCTTCTTAACTATTTATATGCCTTAACCCAACCCTAACCTTGGGCTTTATTTCTATATAGTAAGACTATTAAAGTTATTAACATCACGACGAATTTGTGAAATTTGACCTTAGTCCCAATTTAATTAAAATATTGAGGAGAAACTTTGCAACTTTCAATAGATTTAAGAACTTAAATTTTTGGAGCATTCAAAATTCCACAAATTCATCGTGATGATAAGGCTTTTAATATTTTAGAGACTTTTACTTTTAGTAAGACTTATAACTATTCAGAAAACTTTCGCTTTTGATAAATTTTCGATATTCATTAAGATCTTGACTTTCAATAAGATTTTGACTTTTGGTAAGATAAAGCTTGGAACCTGTTCTATTTTTCTAACTTAAAATCGGTTTAATAAGAAAAATAAAACCAGTTCTAAACTCAATAGTATGATATTCGACTTTTAAATGTTTTAAAAATAAACTCAGATCGAAAATATTTTCGAAAATACTTCGATTTAATAATGTCGTAACTATCTACTTCCAGCAAGTATCCTTAAGATATACATTATTCAGATATTACTGTCACTAAAGGCACAGCATAGCGGCTACTCTCACCCTATATGTAAAAGCTGATTTCACGCATCTTAACAAAACTCCCTTTAACCAAGAGGCACCTTGAATTTTTTAAAAATACTAAAATTAATATTGACCAACAAAATCGCATAACTGATAAAAAAAACTTTAATTTTATTCTGGTTTTCCATTGGCCGTCATTCATATACACTTTTTCATGCCAATTACTTATATTAAACATTTCCCTCGTGTCAACTTATATTACATGTACGATTATATATAATAAAATTAAATTTGTTATTTACTAAAAAATAACGGAAAAAAATATATATGAAAATGATATGTGGTAATTAAAAAAAGAAACTAAACATTTTCGAAAACGTTGTGTAATGAACGAACCAAACCAAAAAAAAACAAATGAATCAAACCCCAGGAAAAAAAAACATAACGAACATCAAATCAGAAAAAAAAAAAATCTTAGCTGAACGTACCAAACCCTCCAAAAAACACAACAAACATAAGAAGTCGTTGCGTAACGAATATATAGATAACTGATAAAAAACAAACTCAACAAAACGTCAACGTCGTTGCGTAACAAACGAAACAAAACATATAACGAAACGCCATACTTATTAAACTAAAAAAAGAAAAAAAGGACTTAGATGACGTAAAAACATCGTTTGCGTTACGAACCCAAAACCCCACAAAAAACAATAGATAATTACAAAATGTTTTATAATGAACGTTTCGGCGTTTTCCTGTTTGCGGTATATTGGTGAATAAAAAGGACGTTTCCAAACGTAGAAGTCTCTTTCTTTTTTGTTTCCTCGTAAGGCCTTGGTAGGTCGGTAGTAAATCGTCGTTGTCGTCGCTGAAACAAAAATTTAGCAAAAATAAATAAAATTATAAAACAGAATAAACTATTTATACTCTTAGTATAGATTAACTTTTTTCTAAATCACACACTCATCCCACACCGCTAGAATATCTGTGGTTCGAGAATCTTTTAATTGCATATTGCTTTTAAATATAGCAATAATATTGAAATTACTGGTTATAGTGGAGAAACCTTTAGTCTACAATCCACACATTTAACCTATGAACGTCAAAAACTAGTTTTGACTTTCAAATAATTTCTTTATAGCTATACTTATAAAGCATAGCGGCAACCAAAAACTTCTCTGCTCCGAATTTTCTTTTATGACGTCAAAAGAACGGCTAGAACCATTAAAAAAATTACGGGTTATTTATGTTCTCCGCTACCAAGCGCATTAAAGGGTGAATTCCAACAGATTTGTCACAACGTACTTAAGAACGAAAGACAAACCATATTGTTTGCGGCAAAAAATTTGAGTGTATTTATATAATCATAAACATCCTAATTTGGAATTGTATAATGTGTTGTTTTGATCATTCAAAACGCGAAGTCACGTGAAAGCACGTGATTTATTTATTTATTTGTGCGGAAAGTCTACGGACGCAAAAGTTGATAGATCTACGGTTACTTTGTTGATAGGCCTAAATTATCCCTAAATTGAGGTGGCGTTCTTTTTGAACTTTGAGCGAAGATATCTCAATAATTACTCGACCAAATTCGATAATTTTTTTTTGTTCTAATTTTACGAATATAGAGAATTCAAATAAAAAATTTTCATCGATTTTGATCAGGCGGTTGTTGAGATATATTCGCTCAAAGTTAGTAAACAAATTCAAAACGCTTAATAAAATAAAAAGCGCGCCAAATTTCTTCTAAAACTTTGAG